ATAATAATAATAATAATAATATACTTTATTGTCATTGTACACAGTACAACGAAATTAAAGGTGCAATCATTTCAGTGATCTACAGCCATACACATATACACTCACACAACCATTCACAACCATCCCATAACTCCCTTAAGGTTCACATTGCAACCTAAACCACCAATGTCACCCAAATTCCAACTTCATACAGCATTTAAAGCAATAATAGCTCTCGAATAAAAACTGTTTTTTAATCTGTTTGTCCTTGTTTTAATTGTCCTATATCTTCTACCCGAAGGCAGCAGTTCAAACAAGGAGTGTTCAGGGTGTGACAAATCCTGCAGAATGTTCTTTGCTTTTTTCAAGCATCGAGAACTATACAATTCCTCCAGGAACGGGAGAGGGCAGCCAATAATCTTCTGGGCTGTGATGATAACTCTCTGGAGTGCTTTCCTCTCCACAGCCGTACAGCTGGCAAACCAGGCACAGACGCAGTATGTTAAAATGCTCTCTATTGAGCAACGATAGAAGGATCGCCAGTAGCTCGCAAAGTAGAATCTTTGCTCCAAAGACTCCACAGCTTAGAGGGAGCATTGGACACAACCCTTCACCAGTCCTATTTTTCATGCTGAGGGAGTACTTTTAAGATCACATCTCTGGGTTACAGGAACAGCCACCCCTGTTCATTCATGGATCTGCCTCATCATCACAGAGAGACTGAATCCTACCCACAACTGATTTATTCCCTTAGTGAATTATTCTATATCCGCGCCGGCTTCCCATTAAAATGCTCCAAGCCGGTTACAATCTCTCCTTATTATAATCGAGTAGTGGGGACCAACGTTCTAAAATGCGCCCCCTTAGTGTTTGGACGGAAAAAATGCCACTCAGAAGATGCTACCTGCCATTGGCTGGGTGGCTGGGAGGGGAGGGAGCCAGTCATGCAGCCAGCGTCTTCTGAGCGGCCATTGTTCCCGACAAACAGTAAGGAGCCCATTCAGCCCAGCGGCGAACGGAGCCGGTAGGCTCCGTCCGCCGGCTTTCCCCCCCCCAAACACCCACTCCAGGCCGGCGGAGCGGCAGG